AAGCCTAACCATTAAGTATTGTTCTTGTGATTAGTATGAATACTTAACCTTTTGAAATTCCAGGACATATTGATAGGAACATCCAGATAAGAATGTAAAGACACTCAAGTACTGAGCTCTGACAGATTCCCCTGTTTTGGTTCTGTGTCACAAAAGCATGGGTGCAACTTGGATATCTAGAAATATTTCCTTATATGTTGTAACTCAGGATACATACTTTAGTTTGTAACAGCTGAAGAAGAGTTATATCTGTGATGTCTGCATCACAGAAATGGGATATTCAAGATTATTGCGTTTTCTTTTTCTTAGGATTTGGAGTGGATCAGTTACGAGATGATAATCTAGAAACTTACTGGCAATCAGATGGATCACAGCCTCATTTGGTGAACATCCAATTTAGGTATTAAAAAGTTACTCTATATGGGTTAGGGTGTTTTGTATAACTGCATTGATTACTGTTCACCAGGATAGGAATTTTGGAAGTGTGAGGACTACTAGGTTAATCCTGTTACCCAGCTGGTAAGAAGCCATTTAGATGGCACTTATGAAAATGAGATTTTTCGAATAAGCAAGAAAAATGAATGTTTAATAGTATGTCACTTGTAACAGTTTCACATTTGCCTACCTAAGGTGACATTTTTGTGCTGACTTTCTGTCTTTGAGTGTAATTTGAAAGATAGATGACTGTTTTTAAAGTAGTCCTGTATAACTTAACAACTGATGGTTTGAGAAACCTTTTCCTAGTCTATTTTGTGTAGGATGCCTTTAGTACTTTTTGCTTAACCAAACTCTTAACATGAAGTTAGAAGTTTGTCACCTTTTTTATTTGCTCTCTGGAGACCTCTTTGGTGTAGTAATAGAGCCCATCTTTGATAAGTTAAACACCTGCTTCATTACATACAAGTGCTGCTTTGGCATCTTGGCCTTTTGTGTATTTCTTGGTATACTGACACTTCCGAAGGCAGGCAAAGGAGAACAATGAAAATCAACTCTGTGTACATCACTTAGAGTGCAGAAACAGCTATCTGCTTTAACAGCGGGGTTCTTATAAATGAGTAGACATGCTTGTGCTAAGTTTTAGAACATGTGAATCCTTAATTATTACAAACTAGCAATAAACTCATCCTGAACATTTTTCTTCATGAAGCTTACATAGCTTTTGTTGCTTCTTGCAGAAGAAAAACAACAGTGAAGACGTTATGTATTTATGCAGACTACAAATCTGATGAAAGTTACACTCCAAGCAAAATCTCTGTCAGAGTAGGAAATAATTTTCATAACCTCCAGGAAATCCGGGTAGGTCAATAATGCTTTGCTTTCTGTCTTAAAATTGTCCCCCTCTCATTAGGATATCTGATGTAGTAGCATTGTTTCTGGAGGTAAAAATATGTCATTGTGCTTGGAGGGAGAAAATGGCTGGGTTTATTTTGATGTTTGCTTTTAGTTTTTATCTTGTAAACTTACTAGGCTGGTTTCTGTTTTTTATCAGGCTCTACTACCAACATGGTTATAAGACTTGATATATGGATCCTGTAATGTAATAAAGAATGGGGTTTTCCAGAAGAGGGCTGTTTAGAATTGGTTAAACTTTGATCTTTAAAATATCTGCAAACCGTATGCATTGCATACATCAAAAGAGACAGCTTTTAAATGCTTGCATTTTTAGACTTAACTTGAATTCATGCTTCTTTTTTTTGCTCTGCTATTGAGTCTCACTAGGAAGCAGAATTTAAAACTACAGGTTTTAGTTATGGCTGTGCATGGCATATAAATATCTCTGAAGTCTGGATTTCATTTTTGGGAGGCTGCATGTACACTTACTAACTAGCAGCATTTGATTCAAAGCTCACTTTGAGACTTTGGCTAAATAAAATTGGGACACAAGGGCTGATAATCAGTTACGTACAGGTTTCTTTGTATGCTATTGGTTGGAGAATCTTCACGTACGTGAGATCTGTTACACATTTGCTAATAGCTGGCTCTAGCCACTACCAATGGTGAGAGCTAGCGGAATTGCAACACTAACTTTTCCAAAATCATATGCAAAGGAAACAAGATACCAATTTAAATTGGAAATCTAATGTAAATTAGTCAGATGTGTTCATAAATGATGTTTTGCTTTTGAGTATAGTTTCTAATCTTTTTGCAATGCTTTTTTTTATACTGGACAGTTGCTGAGATGTAGAAATTCTGGAAGCAGTTTTTTGTTGTAACAATATGATGCAAAATCCAGTTTCCACCTCTGTAGATATGACATTTGATGCTTAAGGCTTCAAATGGGACAGATTTTAGTGTTTTATTAATGTTTTTATTTACAGAAGTGTCGTAGTTAAAACTCACTTTTTTCTTCATGGCTACACTCCTAGCCAGAAAAAGTTTCTTTGGAGTGACTGACATCAGATTTGACTTGCTTTGACTGCTTAGTTTTGCTAGCCTTTTGGTCAATAGTAAAAGCAGATCTAAAATATCCATGATCTCTGTAGAAGTCCATCTTGTAAACTAATCGGGTTACTCGTGAGCAGGTATCTGCTAATTTTGAATTACAGTAGTCTCATGTTTCAGATTCCTCTTGGGAGCTCAGTGGCTACTGGTTGATATATTGGGAGGGTTTAACTTCCCTCCCTTATGACAGGTGTTACAGTAACAGGAGGATTGAAATGTTGAGAAAAGGGGTGTCCTAAATAGTGGCTTCAATTTTTACTGCTGGGATTTTTAGTGTTTTCAGTTTGTTTTTCAGTGTTTGAAGTCCCAACAAGAGCAACTTGAGTAGAAGGCTGTAGGTGTGGTGGGAATAGAAAGTGTAGTAAACATGTCTGCCTCTGTTGGCGCTATGTATCTATCTCCTTTCAATGATTTGTGATGTTCTCTCAAGTTTTGGCTTATACTTTTATCCTAAATCTTAAATGGAAGGGTCTTGACTTTTTTTTAATTAAATATTCTTTTGAAAGAAATGAATCACCACAATACTTTGACTTTCATCAACTGCAAATTCTGTCTTTTAATCTTCTTAATTGCATCGTAGCAATTTGGGAGTTGCACATTGTATAGCAGTAACAGCAGCTGGATCTTTTCTTGTGTTGGGCTATGGGTCTGTGTTCCCAGTGTCCGCTAGATGTCATTGTTGTCCTTAATTACCAGTTTGGTTTTGTGCTTGTCTACTCCTCCAATAACTGAATGATTATCCTTTTATAATAATGTTTAGTACAGCGTTATACATATAACTGTAATAACTGAAGTTTCTTGTACAGTGGTAAACTTCCACTTTTGAGGGTATGTGTGTTGTTAAAGTTCTATAGAAACAATAAAATGTATAATAAGCATATTAGTCTTCTGCAGTTTCTCAGGCAGTATTTCTTTAGCTTTTTTCTTGTTAAATAGAGGATTCTATACATAATGTATTTAGTTAAAAAAGGCACTTCCAAATGAAACAAGTTCCTAATATTTTTTACAGTATATTAACGACTGTAATATGTTGCATGAGAGCAGTGATTCTTACGCATACCACATGCTCATATGCTTTTTTACTTCAAAACTGATGTGAAAATATGGCCAAGCTGCTTACTAATGAGCTACAATACTTTGATGCTGTAAAATACTAGTGACTAACTTTGTCGACACAAATGTTAAATGTTGCTATCAATTTTCATATTTCCTAAACTGCTTGATACTCAGAATGAGTTTCTTAAAATTTCCTTCAGACATGAAACTTTTTCTTTAGCTTCTCTGACACACAGGCAGGTTATTAAAGCAGTGTGAACTGTTATGAGCTCTTTAGAGAAATCTGCTTAATTATACAATGAATCCGTTGGCTTCAGGACTGATTAACTGGGTGGAAAATCCAGCTAAATCATTTTATACTTTTCCGTGGATGCTTGCCCAGCTCATAGTGTCTAATGGAAGTCCTGTGATGCCTCCATGTGTTTTCTGCCTAATGGTCTAATTTTTAAAACAATGCAATGTGCTGTTAGTCTAGGTTTTATCACAAATATAAGATTAGCTTTAGTTTGTGGTCTAGTATGTCCTTTTTGGAACCTAAGATGAAATTATTTTCTGAATAAAAGGTTTTGGGTTTTTTTCCCCACCTCTGAGAAACAAGTTATTTGCACCCCATTGTATGGGTGAGAACAGCTGTCATAATCTGGCGGTATTATTCCCTTGCTCAGCTGGAGGAACTACAGTTAAGATGTGTGCAGTAAACCACCTTCTCTGACTTAAGTGCCTTTTTTTATCACAGCTGTCAAGCTTGGAGAGCAAATATTTTGTCATTTCCAGTCTCAGAGTTCTCCCACATAATGGTGCAAACAGTCTGGATGGACAAGATAGTCTATAAAGGCGTTTGTGGAACAGCATCCAGACCTTTCAGTACGTGATTTAAGTTGTTATGCTTTCTCATGATGAGAAAATAACCCACTGCAAAGGATGTGAGTGACGTCTTGGCTACAAGAGATCTCTGGTCTCTTCAAATAATGCTCACCTGCTTGTTGCCTTTGTACCTCTCCAGAACGTTTAGGTCATCAGCAGTTCATCTTGCCATTAAAAGATTAAGTGTTGTGATGCTGACAGCGGATAGGATTTCAGGTTGTATTCACCTAGTAGTTTCAGTGGCTTCTGCTGTCAGCCTATAGTGTATGGACTTTACACAGCAAAGCAAGACACCTGTAAAGTCTTGTATTAGCCAGTTCGGCATCTTTGAATATAAAAGGCACTCTGGGAAGGTGAGGATCGGATTTCTGAAAGCAGTTACTTCACTTCTTGTGCTAGTTCATATCTGAGAAGCCACTGGTGTTTAATCCCAAAATTAGAGTTGCTTTAAAAGGCAAAACCCCTCCTGAAAGAGACAAAGTCTTCTATTCTGCTGTGCCCTGTAGAGGACTCAACAACAATGTGTCATATGTGTCTTGGCCATAACTAGGTAAGATGCAACTGGACAGGTATAATTTCCTTGCTGTTCCAGTAGGACTTGGTTCTTCCAGCTTTTTTTGGAATGCTTTTTGGACTTTCCCATGGTTTTTTATTTGGAGTAAGACATGTTTTTCGTTTAGTTGTTTGTGTAGTTTAGAGAAACTGACAAGATTTGTGATAGGACCAAACCATTACTAGTGCATGGCATTGTTACGTGTTCTTTGCTTTTCAGTTTGCTTAAGGGCAGTAAGAATCCCCATGGCAGATAAGATCTATTAATGTTCAAGCCTAAAAGGAAATGATCAAAAATACTTCATTGTTGGAGGCAGGGGGGGCAGACACGACGACATTGGACAGGAAGCCTCTGGGTGTGAATGTGCTCTCTCTATGCAGTAAGGCAAATCTGCAAACAGATAGCATTATGGCTTTATGTAACTTAGGTAAGCAGGGTGTTTGCTCTTGGCTTCTTTCGGAAGCTGTTCAGTCTGAAGCAATGCTGCTGGAACAGGGTAACTCCCCTGGTTAACAGCCTTTGTAGGTATGCAGTGCTCCAGCTCTGGGCAGCGATGGATAGCCCTTATGTAGGAAAAAGACACTTTGTCACTGGAGGTCCTATGTAGCAGACATTGCATCAAAGAATAATGCTAAGCAGTAAACACTGCTTTGGAAAAGGCCTGCTTTAACTGGCTGCTGTGCGCTCTCCTCCTGCAACAAAAACCTGCTTAACCTTTGCAACAAGGCTCTGTTCCGAAGATGACTTTGAAGACTCAGGTGAAAGTCTTTGGCGACAGTGCGAGTCCTTTGTTTCAGCTTTTTGTTGTCTTCCGTTGAATTGCTGTCTGCCTTGTTTTCAGTTGGTTTCCTAGCCCTTCTGGTCTTGCTTGGTGTGTTGTAACCAGGTGCTCCAGAGCTGGCGCGAGCCCAGCGATCTCCCGTGTGGGGTGGGTGGGACCAAGCACCACGGACAGGGCCGCTTCCTATCTGTCCTAAGAGGTTCTGCACTGGAGTAGGGAGTTATCAACCAGAGGAGTGCCCAACCCAGAGCTTTTCCCAGAGGTGGTTAAAGAATTCTGATCCATTGTCATCTCTTTACTCGTCCAGTGTCTGTGATTGTAGTGAAGAGGCTGGACTTCTCTAGACATTTTCTGTAATTCAGCCCATAGCAATCTCCACCTACTTTCTGTATGTGGAGTAAACTTAGATACGGAGGAGCAAGGAGATGCTAACTTGTCTTAGGGCTGTGGTAAGCTAATGAATCAAGAAAATGTACTGCTGCTGAGTCTTTGATCAAACATCTCTAAGGGGCATTTTAAACTGTTTTCCTCTGGAGTACTGAGTTTTTACTGGTTTATTTAGAATCCTGACTAGGCTTCAGGTACTGTAGTTGGACACCA